TTCTTGCCGACATGCACTACCAGCACAGCAACGGACCTGCTGCTGGCCATCGAGCGATCGTTCCTCGTCGCCGCCGGCCCGTCCGACGTCAGGTAACGCGTGCGACTACTAATGTAATACGCAACGTAACGTAACACGCATACACACTAAACGTAACGTAAACATAACATATAAAGAATGTATATATTTGTATAAAATATTCAGATGAAAACAGGAATTTCCGGAAGTTAGTTAACAGGTGTGACGTCCTCTTTCTCTCTCTCTCTCTCTCAGGCACGTCCTGTTCGCTCCGGGAGAGAGGGTTAAACCTGGGGGGGGTTGTCGTTCCCGGGAATAGCTCCAGGCGATGCACGGCGGCGTCGTCGGCGCCGGTGCCCCGGGACGCCGTCAGGCGGCAGATCGCCGTGGTAACGAACGCCGTGCAGGCTGCCACCGACGTCGTGCGCAGCGCGTACGTGCCGATCGCTCGTCGTGGAAACGATGACGTAGACGGGGGTGGGGGCGAGTCGCGTCTGCCGCTCCCGTCGTCGCCGTGAACGCGCTAGTGGAGCCATTTTCGCCTCGGTCGTCGCCAAATGTCATCGACAACGACGGCATACCCATGGACGATGGTTGCTCACGGACGATTGGGTTTCACGGTACAGACGGGTTGCCTTACGGACGACGGTTGCCACAAGACGGACGGTTGCTACGGACGAGGGTTGCCACGGACGCCGGTCGGTACGACTTCACGCGACGCTTCTGGGATTGTCGCTAGAGCTTCTTCCGGGCAGACGAACGCCGGTTCCGCGCTCGGCTCGCGATATCTCGGGCTGCCGATACGAACGTCCGCCGCACGCTTTTTGGGGGCACGTGTCTGCGCGCGCATCACGCCTGCATCGCGTTCCAATGGGTTGTCGGAGTGAAGCGCGGCGGAGGTGTGCGGTGGAGATTTGAATGCCACGATGGCGCTGGGTGGAGGGGGGGGCTGCCACGTAGATACCGACGGAGTACGGACCGCGTGCAGCGGCGTCGCTTGGTTACGCTTCACTGAGATTTTCAGAGCACCATGGTGGGTTCGCCGTGGAGGGTCGGGATTCCGGAATGTGGGTGTGGGGGTGGCGGCATGGTAGGGGTGGGGAATGTGCGGTGATGATGTCAGTGTGGGGGAGGGTGGGGTGTGGGGGATGTGAGGGTTGTGGGGTGTAGGAGGGCTGGGGAATGTAGGTTGTGGAGGTGGGTGTGTGGTGTGGCGTGGTGTGGGCGAGGGATGTGAGTGTTAGGGGTGGGAGTGGGGCTGTTGGTGGGCTGTGCGGCGCTGTCGTGTGGCTGGGGTGGGTGTAGGGCGGTGGGAGGGTGGGTGCGTGGTGTGGGCGGATGTGATGTAGGGTGTGGGAGGTGACGGCTGTGTGGGTGTGG